GGACTGTGGATCCGTCCTGGAATCAGACATCCAGGGAAATTCCCACACGATCTTACTTCGGGGAGGCTGAGCAGTGGCCTTACAAATTCTCTTCGTCCGGGCAGTTCGTCGCTCGGCTCGCAGGGCTGGATGTTCCGGGATGGCGGCTCGCACCATGGTGTAATAAGACAAGTGAATCATTCCCGTGGATGCGCAGTAGTACGCGCTTCGATCAATCGCGTTTGGGTCCAATGCACCCGCAAAATTTGAATACGCAAACAAGTACATATAATTAAAATGGATTTCTAATTAAGATTTGTGAAAGATTAATGTAAAAAATACGTGGAATTAGTGGTGAGCTAAACAATAACGTAATGAGACAAGTATTCATTTGGATCCATGGATGCGCAGTAGTACGGATCTCGATCAACCATATTTAAATCCAAATACTAAAAGATTGCTGTCAGATTGCTGTCAGATTGCTATCAGATTGCTGTCAGATTGTGTTATCAAGGTAGTATATATTATGCAATATATAGCATGGTGCTTTCCATTTACACTTAAGTGAAGTGATTCACTCAGTTATGTGAGTATCCTTACTCGGAATGAATGACGTCATACCTGCTTATTTGGTGATAAAACTATCTCATAACAATACAGGTTAATAACCTCACTTTTAATTTGAGTCTGTTAGACTTATTAAAGCACACGGTTTCGATTGTGTGCTGTAGCGTCACAAAAACTCAGTTGAATCTAACTTGCCAGCATCAAAAGGAACGTGCATTTAACTGAGTTATGACGTCACAAGTGAGATTTATCTGAGTTTTGATGTAAATGAAAAGCACTTATTATATGTAATATATATGATTTTTTTCTCCTACATATAGAAACCATGCCAGCGTGTTGTGTGCACAATTGCAAAAGTCGCACAGACTGTACGTACACAAGAAATATAAAATTGTTTCGTTTCCCAAAAGAATTAACTATACGCCAGCAATGGCTTGAAGGCTGTAGAAGAAATGAAAAAGAAATAAAAATTGATTCTGGTAAGTATATGTGTGCGTATGTGTATAATATTACTTGTTTTTAACCTGTTAATATTTTAGCAAGAATATGCAATCTTCATTTTGAAGAGGATTGTTTTGAAATGAAGTGGACAAAGCCACGTTCAACAAATATACCAAAGAAACAGATGTGTAGGTTGAAAAAGAATTCTATACCTACTTTAATGTTAAACGTGGAACAAAGACGAAGAAAAACTAGAGATGAAACAGATATAATAGCAAGTAAAAAGATAAAATTAGCGTAAGTAGTAATTCCTATTTATAAATATATAAATCTATTGTGTGTGTGTGTGTGTGTGTGTGTGTGTGTGTGTGTGTGTACTACC